TCCTTCAATTTTACTTCTGGGCATTTACCTGAAGAAAATAGAAACACTAATTCAAAAAGATTTATGTGGTTTAATGATCATTGCAGCATTATTTAAAGTAGGCATGATATGGAAATAATAGAATGGGAATGACTAGAGATCCCTTCGGGAAAATTAGAGCTACCAAGGGGACATTTCATGCAAAGATGGGTGCAATAAAGGACAGGAACGGTATGGACCTAACAGAAGCAGAAGAGATTAAGAAGAGGTAGCAAGACTACACAGAAGAACTATACAGAAAAGATCTTAATGACCACATAACCATGATGGTGTGATCACTCACCTAGAGGCAGACATCCTGGAGTGTGAAGTCAAATGGGCCTTAGGAAGCATCACTACGAACAAAGCTAGTGGAGGTGATAGAATCCCAGCTGAGCTATTTCAAATCCTAAAAGATGATGCCGTGAAATTGCTGCACTCAATATGCCAACAAATTTGGAAAAGTCAGCAGTGGCCACAGGGCTGGAAAAGGTCAGTTTTCATTCCAATCCCAAATAAAGGCAATGCCAAAGAATGTTCAGACTGTCACACTATTGCACTCATCTTACACACTAGCAAAATAATGCTCAAAATTCTTCAAGCTAGGCTTCGACAGTATGTGAACTGAGAACTTCCAGCTGTTCACACTGGATTCAGAAAAGGCAGAGGAACCAGAGATGAAATTGCCAATATCCATTGGATCATAGAAAAAGCAAGAGAGTTCCAGAAAAGCGTTTACTTCTGCTTCATTGACTATGCTAAAGTCTTTGACTCTGTGGGTCACAACAAACTGTGGAAAATTCAAGAGATGGGAATACCAGACCACCTTACCTGCCTCCTGAAAAATCTGTATGCAGGTCAAGAAACAACAGAAGCGGACATGAAACAATGGACTGGCTCCAAACTGGGAAAGGAATGCATCAAGGCTGTGGACTGTCACCCTGCTGATTTAACTTATATGCAGAGTACATCATGCAAAATGCTGGGCTGGATGAAACTCAAGCTGGAATCAAGATTGCTGNTCTATGTCAGAAGCTTTCCCTATCTCTGTTATACTTCAATAAAACTTTGCTACACAAAGAGCTCTGAGTGGTCAAGCCTCATCTCTGGCTCTGGTTTGAAATCCTTTCTTCCGGAGGTTACTAATCCCAGTGTAGCACACGGCTCACATCCACAAACTTTCAGTAGTTTGAAGATTCTTTCACATTGCTATTCTTTGAGATTTTTATAAAAACTGACCTTTTCCAGTCCTGTGGCCATTGCTGAGTTTTCCAAATTTGCTGACATATTGAGTGCAGCACTTCCAAGCATCATCTTTTAGGATTTGAAATAACTCAGCTGGAATCCTATTACCTCCACTTGCTTTGTTCATAGTAATGCTTCCTAAGTCCCATTTGACTTCACACTCCAAGATGTATGGCTCTGGTGAGTGACCACACCATTGTGGTTATCTAGGTCATTAAGATCTTTTTTTTTTTTTTTTTTAAACAGTTCCTCTGTGTATCCTTGCCACCTCTTCTCAATCTCCTCTGCTTCTGTTAGGTCTTTGCTTTTTCTGTCCTTTATTGTGCCCATCTTTGCATGAAATATTTTCCCTTGGTGTCTGATTTTCTTGACTAGATCTCTAATCTTTCCTATTCTATTGTTTTCCTCTGTTTCTTTGTATTGTTTACTTGAGAAGTCTTTCCTATCTCTCCTTGCTGTTTTCTGGCACTCTGCATTAAGATGAGTTTATCTTTCTCATTTGCCTTTCGCTTCTCTTCTTTGCTCAGCTGCTTGTAAGGCCTCCTCAGACAACCACGCTGCCTTCTTGCATCTATTTTTTTGGGCTGTGGTTTTAGTCACCACCTCCTGTACAATGGTCTGAATCTCCATCCATAGTTCTTCAGGCACTCTTTTATCAGATCTAGTCCCTTGAATCTATTCATCACTTCCCCTATATAATGATAAGGGATTTGATATATATTATACCTGAATGGCCTTGTGTTCTTCCATAATTTCTTCAATTTAAGTCTGGATTGTGCAATAAGGAGCTGATGATCTGAGCCACAGTCAGCCCCTGGTCTTGTTTTTGCTGAATATATAGAGCTTCTCCATCTTCGGCTGCAAAGAATAGAATGAATCTGATTTAGATATTAACCATCTGGTGATGTCCACTTGTAGAGTTTTCTCCAGCACCACAATTCAAAAGCATCCATTCTTTGGCACTCCACCTAGTTTATGGTCCAACTCTCATATCTGTACATGACTGATGGAAAGACCATAGCTTTGACCTGTTGGCAAAGTATTGTCTTTGTTTATGTTTGTTATAGACTGTTACCACTATTCCTTGAAATAATTATTCTGCAATTTTCTGTCCTCTCCCTCTGAAAACCCTATAATGCAGATATTATTCTGGGTGATGATGTCACAAAGGTACTTTAATGTATGTCCATGTAAAACAGTATTTTTATTTTACTTCTCTATCTGGATGAGTTCCATTGCTCTGTCTTCCATCATCTTAGAATGATCACTGACTCATTCTTCTACCTCATCTAATCTGTTATTGAGCCCCTTCAGTGATTTTTCAGTTCAGTTATAAACTCTGTTTTAGAATTTTTATGTTTTTTCCTTCTTCAGTTTCTCACTGTGTTCCTTCATTATTCTCTCAAGTTCATTGAGTATCTTTATGACTGTTACTTTGAATGCTTCACTAAGTGGATTGCTTATCACTGTTTTTATTTTTCTGAAGTTTTGTTTTGTTGTTTCAATTGGAACAGCTTCTGCTGTCTTCTCATTTGCCTCAGTTTCTCTGTTCGTATGTATTGAGTAAGTCTGTGATCTCTCCTATTCTTGAAGGAGTGGGTTTATTAAGGAGATATACTCTGTGAATCAGAAGTGCAGTCCCATGTGGCCCCCAGAGGCAGGTGCTCAGAGTCCTCTATGTGGGCTGGATGCACCCTCCAGTTGTGGTAGAACTGCAGCTGGTGTTGAGGCATGCTGGTGAGTAGGGCTGGCCGCCAGCCTGCTGTGAGATCCAACCAGTTTTTAAATACTCTTAGCCTTACCATTTATTTTCTGTGTGTCCTTAGGAAAACATCTAACATTTCCGTGATAATTATGTTCTTTGTAAAATGGAAAGTTCTCGTCTGCCTATTTAGGAAGGTGTGTGTAAAATGCTTCAGTGATATAAACTAGAAACTGTTGTGATATATATACAATATGTTATAGGTACAGTTTATTAGGGATCTATTTTAGAACTATCTTAACTACTTATATAATTCTTTCACTTAGATGTGAGAATTGTATTATAGCTATGTTAGAAAATGTCTTTATCCTGTTGTTCAGTTGTTAAGTCATGTCTGGCTCTTTGTGATCCTGTGAATTGTAGCATGCCAAACTCCTATGTCCTCCACTCTCTCCTGGAGTTTGCTCAAATTCACGTCCATTGAGTCTGTTATGCTATTTTACCGTCTCATCCTCTGTCACGCCCTTCTCCTATTCCCTTCAATCTCTCCCAGCATAAGAGTCTTTTCTAGTGAGTCAGCTCTTTGCATCAGGTGGCCAAAGTGTTGGAGCTTCAATTTCAGCAACAGTCCTTTCAATGAATGTTCAGGGTTGATTCCTTTAGGATTGACTGGTTTGATCTCTTTGTAGTCCAAAGGATTCTTAAGATCCCCTTCATGGATCACAGCCTTGTCATGACAAAAGTGGCTTGCATAACTCAGTGAAGCCATGAGCCATGCCATGCAGGGCCACCCAAAATGGACGGGTCATAGAAAAGAGTTCTGACAAAACGTGGTCCACTGGAGAAAGAAATGGCAACCTACTCCAGTATTCCTGCCTAAAGATCCCCATGTATCCTTCTCTTAAGGATACATATTATACTTAGGTTTGAAATATTTTATCTTCAACTTAATATAATGTCAAATATTTTCTGTACATGTACAAAGACAGGAGAGAATGAGAAAGAGTAAGAGAGTGACAGAGAAGGAAGAAGACACACACACTCAGATACAAATGTGTGGAAATCGTAACAGAGAAAGAGAGAAGAGGAATAAATGCGGCAAAATGTTCACGAGAGAATGTTTACAGTTAGTTCAGTAGAGGTTATCCTGCTCAAATTTGTTGTCCCCATCCTTTGACTCCTTCTAGCTTGTTGAAGGGTTGTCGAGCTTTGTCTTTTGCTGAGAAGTGCTGTTAAAAACACTGTTTCTCAGTTCAGTCGTTTACTCCTTGAAGGATATGAATTCACACTTCATTATATTTTCCTGGCTATATATTTACCATAGCGATCATATATGTTCATTGTGGAAAATTTGAAATTATAAAGGAAAATAAAAGCTACTCATAATTTCTATACTTGGAAATAATTGTTATTATATTTGGATGTATTTCTTTGTAGTTTTAATTTTGCACATTCCCATGAACTGTTTATTTTGAAAATGTTTCAGCCTATGAAAAAGTTGAAAGAATAGTATAATATTTACTTATATACCCTTCATATAATTTGATTATTAATTTTTTACCACATTGTTGTTCTCTTTCTGTTCTGAGTATGAGTCTTTGAAATTGAGTTGAAGATATCATGCTATGTCATCCTGAAATGTATTTGCATGTATTTTCTTAGTATTGTATAAGGATGTTTACTTGCATAATAGCCATACCGTTATCACAGCTAAGAAAATTAATTCAGGTGATAATTTTGTCTATTCAGAATTATATTATACATTTTTTTCATTTACATTATAACATCTTAAAAATTATTTTAAGTTACTGCATAGTGTACAGTATTTAACTTATTTTCTTTATAGTTGAATTTCTTTAGATTGTTAATATTTTTATTATTATAGGTAANTGACTTAAGATATCTCCGTTTAAAGATGATATGGCCTGTTTAGACTCATCTTCTATTCATTAGCATAGAGGCCTAAATATATACTTCCTTGGGTGTATAAGCCCTGGGTTTGAGCATATTTATTAATATGTCTGTTTTCTTTCAGGTTTTCGTGCACCTGAAGTTGCTAGAGGAAATGTTATTTATAACCAACAAGCTGATGTTTATTCATTTGGTTTGCTACTTTATGACATTTTGACAACTGGAGGTAGAATAGCAGAAGGTTTGAAGTTTCCAAATGAGTTTGATGAATTGGCAATACAAGGGAAATTACCTGGTAAGTTTTATCTACAATAAAGATTATTATATTTTAATTTATCAGCTTCATTTCTAAGTTATTTAATTTTATTTATTGACTAATTCATTTTACAACTGATAATTTTTTTGTTTAGTGCATGAATATTGTTAAATTCTGTTAAGTTAATATAAATCATATGAGAAACATAGAAGATATAGGGTTTCTTTTTAGTATTCTAAATATTGATATATTAGGTATTATATTTAGACGAATACTCAGAAAAGGAAATACTATTATAAGTCCAGGTTTAGTGACTTTCCTTCTCGTGAAGAGTTACTAAGTGTCCATTAGCTTGGAGTATTTTCATTTTCTTGAGTGAAGTAATTTCTATATAAGAATGAAAACAAATTATTTACTATAATAATTTTTAGTAGTAAATATTAGCAAGAATTAGTAAGTGAGTGTTTAATGAGATCAGATCTCATTTTGAACAGTTGCCTCATGCTTTAAGGGGTTCCCTGGTGGCTTAGACCGTAAAGAGTCTGCCCACAATACAGGAGACCCAGGTTCAGTCCCTGGGTTGGGAAGATCCCCTGGAGAAGGAAATGGCAACCCACTCCAGTACTCTTGCCTAGAAAATTCCATGGATGGAGGAGCCTGGTGGGCTATAGTACATGAGGTCGCAAAGAGTCGGACATGACTGAGCGACTTCACTTTTACTTTTCACTTTCACTTTAAAGAAATTCTAGGACTTTTTTCTTTCATTCCTTAACTGTTACTTCAGTTTGCATTCTGAAATATTCTTTTAAATATATTTAGTTGTTTCTCATATTTTCTGCTTTTCATTTAAGAAAAGTTTTGAGTGTATACTGCACTCCAGCTACAGGGAAGATAATTGTCTCCTTTGGGGACCTTAAAGATTCCCAACAGAAGGAAATCTATTTTTATTTGGCTAAATACTTCGTGCACAATCTGGGTCATCTCCCTCATTTTATCAATTAGCTTTCTAGGAAAAGCTTTCAGGTCTCTATTCTACACCGACCAGAAAAATAGCATATTTAAAAACAAATGTTCACAAATGATTGTGGGGATATGAGGACTGAATGCTTGCCTACTTTGAATATTAAAATAAAAGTATTTGCAAAAAAGTCTACTATATGAACAAAAGTGTTTTCAAAATCTATTTGAAATGAAGGTATGAAATGAAAATCTTATTTTTATTCAGTTGGTATTTGTGTCTCTTTTTATACTATAAAAATCAATGACTCTTTTTTGATGTTTCTAGTGGAGATAATTAACAAAATTAGCTTTAAGAGTGGTAAGCAGTTCATAATAAATATGGAATTATAGAGATCAGTGTTTCCTTTCCAGTGTCTGGACCTCTCATACACATTGAGAAGAAATAAAATAATCTTTCAGATTTGTTCAGTGTTTTAAGTTAATCATTTTTATTTCCTCTTTAAGGTTTCACTACTCAGTTTGTTATTCCTGTATTCATAATTTTTATTTAAAATGGAAACAGTCGCATGCTGTTCTGAGATTTTTCAGTTTTTCTCCCAACATTGCTTTGTGAACTTCATCCATATTGTTGAACATAGCTGTTGATTTCTTTCCCGGCTCTTCCATTTCATTGTTTGAATGCACAACAATGTATTTACCCATGACCATATCAATGGGTATTGTTTCTAGTTTTTTGCTACTGTCAGTACTGTTATCAGGGTGGTTGTACATCTCCTAGAGCAAACTGCATTAGAATTGCTTTATGTTATATATCTAGGAGTTGAATTGCAGAATCATGGAATATGGGACTGTCTAAATCATTTTCTGAAGTTGTACCAGCCTAACAGTTTCATCACCTGTATATTATTGTAGCTGTTTTTTAAAATATATTCTCCTTAAGTATTGTACTATCTGACTTCTTAATTTTTTCAAAATGGATTCAGTTTTATACATTGATTTACATTTTCCTAGTTACTAATAAGGATGAGCATTTCTTTATACATTCATTGGTAATATATATGTTTCCTCTTCTGGAAAATGCTTGTTCATTGTTTTGCCCATTTTTCTATTAGGTTATTTGCATAAAAATGAAATTTAAAAACAGCTTCTTCCTTTTCTACATTGTATACTTAGTTGGTTATGTATGTTGCAAATTTCTTTTCCCAATTCATGGTTCCCATTTTTATTTCCTATGGAGTGCCCTTTGCTTCACAGAATTTCTTAATTTTAATAGAGATAAACTTAATAGTACTTACTTTTATGGCTATTAGTTTTAGAATCTTGTTTTAAAAGGCCATTATCTCTCCCAGAGCCACAGAAATATTTACCTATGGTTTCTTCATAAAGTTTAAAGTCTTGCTTTTGATAAAGTTCTTAATTCATCAGGAATTGTATTTTTATCGAGATCCAATTTTCTTTTTTTCCATTTGGATAATCTATTTTCTAGTTTTATCTATGAAATTGTTTCTTCCTTTGTCTTCCATTGATCTTTTTTTTTTTCTGTTTGCACCCTGTGATATACTCTAAAAGATACACACACACATATTCTCTTCCATTGGTCAATTTACCTGTTTTTCCTCCAGTACAGTCTCTCTTAATTCCTGAAGCTTTAATAGTCTTTTTTCCCTCTAATTGTTATTCTTTAGGAATGCCTTAGCTGTTCTTTGGTCTCATTTTTCCATGTAAGTTTTTAAATCACTGTTAACTTTTTTGAAAAATTCTATTGTGCTTTGGATTAAACTTGCATTGAATCTATAGGCAACAGCCTTAGGATACACAAAGTTTCTGTATTCTTGAATGTGGGTTATCTCTCTGTTTAAGTCTTAAGTGTCTTTCAGTAAAGTTTTACAATTCTGCATACAGGTCTTGCACATCTTTTATTGGATATTTTTTGCTATGAATTGCTTTAAACTCAGTTCCTGGCTTGAGATGTTTTTGAATCACCTGGGTGATGGGAATCTTATTTGTGAATCTTGAGAGCAAGCTTATGAATAGCAGTTTCTCAGGGTTCTTTTGTTCTTTCACCCTGTGTCTGTAAAGTCCTAAGGCCACTTTCCTTATAGACCAGTGGGAGTGGGAGTGGAACATGGCTTTATTTCTCATTTTCATTTACTCTGAATATGTGGCCCTTGGGGGTCCCAGTTTTATCCCATTACTACATTCTCCACTTTGGGCATCCCTAGATTTAACTTTCCCACCAGCCCCATAAGGCATTCAAAACCACACATCAGTTTTACTTCAGTAGACCAGTGCCTTAAGGGAAAATCAGGCTTTGGGGCTCATCTGACCTCTCTGGATTCTGCCTTTCATTAATATTTTGGCCTGATAATTCTGTGTGGTGTTGTCAGATCCCTAATGTTTTTAAGAGGTTAAAAAAATAATTTCTTCAATGTTTTAAATTGTAGTTAGCTGGAAGGCTTGTCCAAATAACCTTTTCTACCATATTATTGGAAATAGAACTCTTGCAGTTTTTTAAATTTTATTTTGTTTTTATTTCATGGTCACACTGCGTGGCATGCAGGATATTAGTTTCCTGACCATATCAAACCCTCGCTCCCTGTAGTGGAAGTTTTAACCACTGCCAGAGGAGTCCCTCTTACAATGTTTTAAATGAAACACTTAATATATCAAAATAAGAGGTGTTTTTATGTTGTGGACTCTCAATTTTGTATAATAATTAATTGAAAAATTTTTGTTCAGTTTCCTACTGAGAAATAGCTGAGGACGTGTATACACTACCTTTATCAAACAATCTATAATCATGTTGACTACTTGTCTTACTTTTTAATTTTGGTTGCCACCAGTATTAATCACACAGACTTTAAAAAAAAATTATCTTGGTGATATTCTCCAAAGCTTAATTATTGCTTTACTTTTTCTTTTTTTAATTCTTGCTTATACTTCACTTGTGTTTTATAGCTTACCTATCACCTTGAGGATTTTTTCCTTTTAGCATATGACAGTATTCAAAAACTTTCTCATACCTATTTAAAATACCATGTGTGCTAGGCAAGATAGGTAAACTCATGACTTTGTCAGATGAGGCACTGGGTGAAAAGGAGCTTTCTTGGAGTCTCCTGCATGGCGGGCACATGGCTGTGACAAGAGACTCTAATTCCATTTTCCTGACTCCTGGTTGTTTCCTTACACTGACTTTATGCCATCTTTCTAGTTCTTTAGTGCTTGAAGGAAAAACGAAAACAAAATCTAGAGGCGATTTGTGTTTATTGCCATGCTGTGGTTAGTCACTCAGTTGTGTCTGACTCTTTGTGACACCATAGATTGTAGCCCACCAGATTCCTCTGTCCATGGGGATTCTCCAGGCAAGAGTGCTGGAGTGGGTAGCCTATCCCTTCTCCAGGGGATCTTCCCAACCGAGGACTTGAACTGGGGAATCTTGCAGTGCAGGTGAATTCATTACCAGTTGAGCTACCAGGGAAGCTTGTTCCCAAAGATCGAAATTTCATTTCCCTTCAACTGGTAGAAGCTCTAGTCTATTGTTGGCTTGAATATTTATCTTCAACATGATGTGTTTCTGCGGTATAAAACTGAATGAAGAATAGCTCCTGATTCTGCTAACTTAATGTTAATTTGGCACTTTGGGGATTTCTTTTCAAGTTACAAAATACACCCAACACAATAATGTGTGTATACCATGCACAGTTTAAAAATAAGTATTGTTTTAATGTAATTTTATCTCTAGTTTGTTAATCTTTTGCTCTGGGTGGATCACAGTTTAAATAACAAATTTAGATTTTTCTTGATGGAACTGTAACATTTAACTGTAACATTATGCATAATGATATGATTTTTCAAGGTGTTTCCCAGGTGTTTTGGTGATAAAGAATCTACCTTGCCAAGCTGGAAATGCAGGTTTGATCCCTGGGCCAGAAAGATCCCCTAGAGAAGGAAATGGCAACCTATTCCAGTATTGTTGCCTGGAAAATCCCACGGACAGAGGAGCGTAGTGGGCTACAGTCCATAATGTCTCAAAGACTCGACACGACTTAGCGACTACCATCATAATCATAACTACCATCATAATCTTTCAAGCAGACGTGTTAACTTGATGTGTGTTATTTTTTAAACTTCTCAGGTCTTTGACATTTTGAATTCAGCTGAGTTAATCTGTCTGATGAGACGTATATCAATCCCTAAAAGCTTTACTGTTGAATGCATGGTTGCTATGAATCATAACAGCAAGAATGTGAGGATTTGGCTGGGCTGTGGGCACACGGACAAAGGACAGCTCTCATGTCTTGACTTAAATACAGAAAGATACACTTCTGAGGTAAATCCAAATACTCTTTAAATTAGTGATATTCTAGAAAACTCACTTTGTGAATTATTTTAAAACTTGTGCCAGTTAAAAAGTTACTTGGGAGCATTCAATGCATAGGTGTAAAGTGTCTGGCTGGGGCCAGGGCCAAGGGAGGGCTTGAAGGCACGGTGTTTGGTTTGGGGCACAGTAACAGAGCTATCTATGTCCAACTGCTGGGTGGAAAGTGTTTGTCCAGGGCCTAGCCAAGAAAGAAGTCTGAGAGATTCTCGACACTACCCATGACTGTCAAGTGGAACTGCAGCAACTCAACTGGTTCTTTTAAAAAAAAAATTACTTAGGAAAAAATTAAATAAGGGCTAATGTAGACTTGTTATTAAATTAGCTTCCTGTTAGAACAAATGCATTCACAAGAAATTAAGTGGTATGTGTTTTGTTTTAAAACCACAATGTTATGTCTTAGGTCAGGATCCCTAGAAACAGAGCCTGAAGCAGGATTTTATATGAGTGATTTAACGAAAGAGAGGGCTTCCCTGGTAGCTCAGCTGGCAGAGAATCCGCCTACAATGCAGGAAACCGCTGTTCTGATTCCTGGGTTGGAAAGATCCCCTGGAGAAGGGATAGGCTACCCACTCCAGTATTCTTGGGCTTCCCTGGTAGCTCAGATGATAAAGAATCTGCCTGCAGTGCAGGAGACCTGGGCTTGATCCCTGGGTTGGGAAGATCCCCTGGATGAGGGAGGGTGTGGCAACCCACTCCAGTATTCTTGGCTGGAGAATCCCCGTAGACAAAGGAGCCTGGCANGGGTTGGAAAGATCCCCTGGAGAAGGGATAGGCTACCCACTCCAGTATTCTTGGGCTTCCCTGGTAGCTCAGATGATAAAGAATCTGCCTGCAGTGCAGGAGACCTGGGCTTGATCCCTGGGTTGGGAAGATCCCCTGGATGAGGGAGGGTGTGGCAACCCACTCCAGTATTCTTGGCTGGAGAATCCCCGTAGACAAAGGAGCCTGGCAGGCTACAGTCCACGGGGTTGCAAACAGCTGGACATGAATGAGCGACTGAGCAGAGTGCACAAGGAGAGAGAAACTTTAAAGAAGATACAGGAAGCCACGTAGGTCAGGGGAAGAAGCTCAGCCAAAATGTAGTTTCTGAGGAAGTCTAGCTTCAAGCTTTGTGTATGTGCATTCATGCTCAATCTTTCGACCCCATAGACTGTATGTAGCCCTCCAACTTTCAATCATTACCAAGAAACTTTGGAATGTGTTAACAGCACAGATTAATTCTTTCACCAGGCAAGTGGTCTAGTATGTCATTCCCACTTATCAGTTGGTCATTAGCCACAATTTGCCCAATGGTAGAGTGGGGTGATCTCCCAGCCACTTCTGAGCAAGCCAGCTCCCTGTGGGCTGAAGGTAGTGAAGGGTGCAGCGTTGAGCTCTTAGTAGCCTACACTTAGAGCAGCTGAGGGTGGGTGATAGAGGAGATCTGGGCTTGGCTTCTATAAGATGGGTCACTAATTGTACTGGGAATTATAAGGTAAATTTCTAGACTTAAAAAATCTAATATTTTGATAGTTGCTTTGAAATGTGTTGTGCCTAAATATTATTCTTAAGGTTGAACAGTGTTCTTGTATTATTTTGATGGAGTGGGAAATGATACTGAAAATAATTTTCAGTTTTTAAATTTCAGTTTCAGGTACATTCTAGACAGACATTTTTCTTTTCTTTGCCAGTTAACTAAAAAAAAAAAACTTCAGTAAATGAACTCATAAGTTGTTACTAGGTGAAAATGGCTTAAACATTATCCGTTACTGAAATGGCAGAATTTCGGATATGAGTGATAGATTAGTTGCTGTAATATTTGGGCCAGTATGATTTCCATGAGTCATTTAGGTTATATGTCGTATCCTTCAGTCAGCACCAGAAAATAAGTGTCAGAAAAATGTGAAGTCCAAGTTTTGGTGGCTGACATATAAACTCCATTGGCAACGATCCAAAAATTATTGTTTGGATCCTGTCAAAAATTTCATAAGACGAAGTCAAATAGGCAAGGAAGACTTTATGTTTAAGGTAATTGCAGTAGGGAAGAGGAACTGAACTCAGCTCTGCTGAAATAAAAGATGGGAGAGTTTTTAAACCCTTTAACGAGCTAGTGGAAAAGTGCTGGAGGACTTTGGGGTAGGGGAGGGTCAATGTGACAAGGCCATCTGTGTTTGCTGATCCTTGCTTATTGAAATCGAGCTCCTGCTGTCTTAAAAAGACTATGAGAAGGTATGTCATAGTCTGATGACATTTCAGAGTAGGCTCTCATATCCTTGAGAAAGTCATTCTTAAATTATAAAACTTGCAAGGGTCTAGGAGAAGACCTGCATTTTAAATGGGCGGAGAAAGAAGTTACAATTTACATTTTCTCAAGTGAATGCTGTAAGGAAAGGGAGGTCAGGGCCAATAACCAGGAAAAAAACCTGTCTAAAGTTTAGTTAAGCTAGGGAGAATGTGAAGCCATCTTGATCTCTATAATCATTGTTTTTACAACAATTTTGACATTTTTTTCTTTTAGCAAGCAAAAAAATTTCCTTTTAGTGGGAACTGCTGATGGCAACTTAGCAATTTTTGAAGATAAAACTGTTAAGGTAAATATTGAACACATTCTGAATCAAAATTTAAATTGTTTTATGTTTGTTCATCACCAGCCTCCTTCTGATTATAAACTCCCTGACACCAAGGATCATGTATTCTGCTTTTTATCTTTTCATTGCTTCGGAAAGTCTTGTACACAATAGATATTCATAAGTACTTGGTGATTAACTGTGTATATGAATGAACCATTGATAAATGAGATCTGATTTATAATATAGTGTTAGTGATGGAAATAATTCCATGTTTATATAAGTGAAGTAGATAATTTCTTATAAATATATTGTGGAAAAGACAAGGGAAACAAGTTTTAAGTCTGGCTTGCTATCAACCTGTTCTTTAATCTTGAAGAAATCATTTGACTTTCTGTTCTTAAGATTCACATTTATCATTAAAGCTATGATTCTCCACCCTTCATTCATCTGTGGTTCCATCTAGTCATTTAACATCCTACCCATTCATACTCTTTGTTATCAAAAAAGCTTATTATCTAATGAGAGACAAAGTAATTATAGTATAATTTTTAGGTTACTGCTGTACAAATTTTGCATGGAGAAGTGAAGAGATTGGTTATAAAGATAATTGAATACTATTTGAATTAAATCCTGTTTTTATAAGCCATTTGAAAAATGTATCCTGAATTTTTTTTTTATATCTCTAACCATTTAAGAGGGAAAGTAGTTTTTAGAAAGCTCAAATTTTACACTATTTCATTCTGTAGATACTCAGTTTACTGAATGTGTTTTTCTCTTTTTGGCAAAGTGTAAAGGAGCCACTCCTCTGAAGATACTCAACATAGGAAATGTCAGCACTCCACTGATGTGTTTGAGTGAATCTGTAAACTTAACTGAAAAAAATATTATGTGGGGAGGATGTGGTACAAAAGTTTTCTCATTTTCTGATGATTTCACCATTCAGAAACTCATTGAGACCAGGACAAATCAGCGGTGAGTTATTCCTTTCCGTGCAGCTAATTTACCATTTTCTTAATGTTTATTCTTTGTAATCATGTCAATAATACTGTCTGTAGTTCCCAACAAAAATCTTTCAAAATGCATACTTTATTTTTCTGTTGTAAATGTAAATATTCATTATGAAACTTGGCATAGGAATGTTAAAAAAAATCACCCAGCCTAATCACATTTGGGATAAAATATGAAAATCCATGGTAATTTTAGTAGTGTTTATCACTTTAAATTTTTATCACTTTCATTATCTCTGTATCAAATTAAACATGGAATTTGAAAGACAACTCATTATTTTACTGAAGATATGAATTTTACACATACATTTTAGATAATTTTCTTTGTTCCTTCTTTTTTTATTGAGGTACAAAGTTTATATTCTGTTTATAGTCATTATAAAATATTGGCTATATTCCCTGTGTTATATGGTATATCCTTGTAGCTTATTTTATACATAGTAATTTGTGCTTCTTAATCTCCTAACATTATCTTGGCCCTCCCCTCTTTCCTCTCCACATTGATAAACACTAGTTTGTTCTCTGTATCTGTGAGTGTGTTTTAATTTTTTATATTCACTAGTTTGTTATATTTTTTAGATTCTACATATAAGTAAGATTAAATAGTATTTGTCTTTCTTCGACTTATTTCACTTAGCGTAATAACCTCTGAATTCATCCATGTTGTAGCAAATGGTAAAATTTCAATCATTTTGTTGGTGGGTATTGTTCTATTGTATATTTATAATACCATATCTTCTTTTTTCATTCATCTGATGGTGGACACTTAGGTTGCTTCCATATTTTGCCTATCATTAGAGTGCTTGTATCATTTCTTTCTTTCTTTTTTTTTTTTTGGATAAATACCCAGGAGTGGTATTTCTGGGTCATATGGTAGTTCTATTTTTAGTTTTTTGAGGAATCTTCATAGTTTTTTTCCATAGTGGCTGCACCATTTTCACAACCAGTGTATGAGGTTTCCCTTTTCTCTACATTCTTGCCAATGCTTGTTATTTGTGGCCTTTTTGATGCTATCCATTCTGACAGGTGTGAGATGATATTTCACTGTGGTTTTAATTTAAGCTTCTCTGATGATACTAATGGTGAGCACCTTTTCGTGTGCCTGTAGATCATCTGTATGTCTTCTTTGGAAAAATGTCTAATGGGTCTCTGTCCTTTTATTAATTTTATTTTTGTATTTTTAATGTTGATTTATAGGAGCTATTTATATATTTTGGATATTAACACCTTATCAGTCATATTTGCAAATATTTACTTCTATTCAGTAGGTTGTCTTCATTTTGTTGATGGTTTCCTTCACTGTGCAAAAGTTTTTATGTTTACTTAGCTCCTGCCATTTATTTTTGCTATTATTTTCTTTGCTTTAGGAGACAGATCCCCCCAAAATTNGGAAACTGAAAAATCCTTGCACTGCCTGGTTAGTATTACTTGATAGTGCTGATCCTTTTAATGTATGGATTTGGGTTGCTAATATTTAGTTGAGGATTTTTGCATCTATGTTTATCAGTGGTATTGATCTGTAATTTTCTTTTTTGTATGTTTTCTTTGTCTGGTTTCGGTACTAGGGTGATACTGGCCTCATAGAATAAATTCAAGAACATTCCTTCCACTATAATTTTCTGAAATATTTTGAAAATGTTTGATAAAATTCATCTGTGAAGCTCTCTGGTCCTGGATTTTTGTTTGTTGGGACTTTTTTTTTTATTACTGGCTCAATTTCAATAGTAGTGATTGTTTTGTTCATATTTTACATTTCTTTCTGATTCAGTATTGTTACATTGTACATTTTTAGCAATTTGTCCATTTTTTTCTAGGCCATCCTTTTTTTTTTTTTTTTGCATATTGTTTGTAGTAATCCCTTATGATCCTTTGTATTTCTGTGATGTTGGTTGTAACTTCTTTTTCTTTTTGATTTTATTAATTTGAGCCCTCTCCTTTTTTTCCTTGATTATCAATTTTATCTTTTCAAAGAACCTGCTCTTAGTTTTATTTATGTTTACTATTGGTTTTTTAGACTGTATATCATTTACTGCTTCTCTTACCTTTATGATATCTTTCCCTGTGGTAACTTTGGGTTTTGTTTGTTCCTGTTTTTCTAGTTCCTTTAAGTAAAAGGTTAGCTTGTTTATTTGAGAATCTTAATTTTTCTGAATTCATCTTTTTTCACTATAGATTTCCCTTTTTTGAACTGCTTCTACTGTATCCCATATATTTGGATCTTCATGACTCATTTTCATTTGTCTTCAGTTGTTTTTTATTTCTTCTTTGATTTCTTCAGTGACCCATGTTATTTAGTATCATGTTATTTAGTTTCCATGTATTTGTGCATTTTGCAGTTGTTTCCTTATAGTTGATTTTTAGTCTCAGCGAATGGTCTGAAAAGCTATTTTATGTGATTTCAATTTTCTTAAAAGATATGGAGTACCCATCATAGTCAACAAAAGAGTCTGAAATGCAGTACTTGGATGCAATCTCAAAAACGATAGAATGATATCTGTTCATTGCCAAGGCAACAATTCAATATCACGGTTATTCAAATCTATGCCCTGACCAGTAACGCTGAAGAAGCTGAAGTTGAATGGTTCTATAAAAAGACCTACAAGACCTTTTAGAGCTAACATCCAAAAAAAGATGTCATTTTCATCATAGGGGACTGGAAGCAAAAGCAGGAAGTCAAGAAACACCTGGAGTAACAGGAAAATTTGGCCTTGGAGTACAGAATGAAGCAGGGCAAAGGCTAGTAGGGTTTTGCCAAGAGAACGCACTGGTCATAGCAAAACACCCTCTTCCAACAACACAAGAGAAGACTCCACATATGGACATCTCCAGACAGCCAACACTAAATTTAGATTGATTATATTCTTTGCAGCCAAAGATGGAGAAGTTCTATACAGTCAGGAAAAACAAGACTGGGAGCAGACTGTGGCTCAGATCATGAACTCCTTATTGCCAACTTCAGACTAAAATGGAAGACAGTGGGGAGAACCACTGAGCCATTCAGATATGACCTAAAATAAATCCCTTGTGATTATACAGTGGAAGTGAGAACTAGATTTAAGGGGCTAGATCTGATAGACAGAGTGCCTGATGAACTATGGGCAGAGGTTCATGACATTGTACAGGAGACAGGGATCAAGAATATCCACAAGAAAAAGAAATGCAAAAGAGCAAAATGACTGTCTGAGGAGGCCTTACAAATAGCTGTGAAAAGAAGAGATGCTAAAAGCAAAGGAGAAAAGGAAAGATATACCCATTTTAATGCAGAGTTCCAAAGAATAGCAAGGAGAGATAAGAAAGCCTTCCTCAGTGTTCAGTGAAAACAATAGAATAGGAAAGACTAGAGATCTCTTCAAGAAAATTAGAGATACCAAGAGAACATTACATGCAAAGATGGACTCAATAAAGGAAAGAAATGGTATGGTCCTACAGAAGCAGAAGATATTAAGAAGAAGTGCCAAGAATACACAGAAGAACTACAAAAAGATCTTCATGATCCAGATAATCAGGATAGTGTGATCACTCACCTAGAGCCAGACATCCTGGAATGTGAAGTCAAGTGGGCCTTAGGAAGCATCACTACAAACAAAGCTAATGGAGGTGATGGAATCCCAGTTGAGCTATTTCAAATCCTAAAAGATGATGCTGTGAAAGTGCTGCACTCAATATGCCAGCAAATTTGGAAAACTCAGCAGTGGCCACAGGACTGGTAATGTCAGTTTTCATTCCAACCCCAAAGAAAGGCAATGCCAAAGAATGCTCAAACTACTGCACAATTGCACTCATCTCACACACTAGTAAAGTAATGCTCAAA